AGCCTACTCAGTCCAGCTAAAACTGATGAAACAGCTTGAACAGAACTTATGGATGTCAGACAGATGAATACAGTACATCTGAACACACACACACACACAGTACATGTCAATGATGCCTGATAAGTGTTCAGAAACTCAGCCCGTCACAGTGAGGTTAGAGTAGATATGTTTTAGTAGCTAGCTAAATGTCACAATCTAATCTAATGCAGGAGTTGCAAAGATTATTAAGTTGATGTTATTAAAGGATAGAGCAGCAAAGTCTTTAAGACACCCAACAGCAAATCTGCAGCTTGTGAGTAAAGGTTCGGTCATATTAAATATTGGCCAAATATTGCAGAAAAAATACTCTATTGTGAATAGCTCTCATGCAGAGATCCAGATCGCAGGGATTCCTGATATAATCCGCCGGAGTTGAGTCGCACATTAAGTTCAGCAAAAATGCTGTTACGGATTTTATTTATTTTTTGCTCAGCATGCCGTTCGTCCCCACAAGATAAATAAAGTAAGTGGGTAACGTTCGATGAATTAAAATGACATGTTCTGAGCACAATTAAATCAGTTTTATATGCGGTTATATATATGAGGTTCATGTTTGAGCTTATTAGGAACAACAGATGTCAAATGGAACTATTCCTAATAAAATCATTTGAGCAAAAAAATAAAGTTTACACTTGTTTACATGCAGATCATTAGTTCTTTTCACGCTTAATTATTAATTATTTTTTTAATGTTTTTTTTTTTGTTCAACTGCGTATGTTTTTTGTGGTACACTGTAATGAAATCCATCTTTCAATACAGAGAAAAATAATAATTTTTAGAAGATGCTTCAACCAAAAAATAAAAATGTCATTATTCACTCCCTGATATGATGATAGATGATATTTCGAATAAAGCTTATTAAATTAAAGCTGCAACAGTCGAGTGCATGAAGTGTCCAACATCCACACTTCATTTTTTTTTGGTTAATAATTTAGTGTATTATCCGGGTATAAGTGTAATTTCCAGTGTGAACACACTACTCACACTATTAATACTTTATATTTATAAGTCATAGAGTAGTGAACAAGTACGTGACTGAGAGACACTTCTCAAAATATCTTCTTTTATGCTCCATAGAAGAAAGTTTTGTGGATACTATAAAAATAGCATTTTTTTTCAGTCTTTTCAGTCAATTTAAAATGTAGTAAATGTTGAAATTAACAAACTAACAGTGAATACTTCTACAATATTTATTAACCTTAGTTAATGCTAAAATTGCACTCTTATTGTAAAGTGTTACCTTATTTCATATAGATCCAAAGAGTCATGCTTAAACAAGGCCAGAGGATTAAAAATACATAAATGTAGACCAATTTTGTATAATCTCTCACTTTATTTGCTTCTATTTTAGAGCACTTGATGATTATCTAATCAAAAAAACAATATTTTGTAGTGATAAAAAAAGAACTGAGTGAAATCGAATGCGTTTATGTTTCTGTCGGCTACATGAACACATCGATGTTGAGAACGCAATCGCGTCACTAGCTTTAAATATGCAACTTCGCCACCAATCAACTATCGGTACCGATATATCGGCAAAACCGGGAATCAATCGACCTCTAATAATGACCAACACAATCTACCAGGTAGCGTCTGGTTTAAGACGGGCTTTTTTGGGCTGTAAATAACGGTGCAAATACCAGTAAACTGACTAGCGGAAACTTTAGTAAATCAACTTGCGTGATCCATTTAAATACTCTCCTCCCATACATCGTGCGCCTGAAAGGGAAACTCCTACAAATGCATATATGCAATAAGATCAGCCGCAAAAATAACCCTTCCACGCCTTTCCAGTGCTCATTTCTCACTGCGTGTCTTTAGTAAATCCTGACAGTAGTTTTATAACGCCCAAACAGGGTTTACGCTGGCGCAAGCCTTTAGTAAATCTGACCCCAGGTGTGCGAACAGTGCTTTTATCAACTTGCTGCCTCCACCTGGTCAACACAGCAGCAACAACAAATTACAATAGAACTGAAAATTTGATTGGCTCCAAAATCACCGTAACAAATCATTTATGTTTTTAAATTTTCCCAACTAACAACAAGTGGGCTTATAAGGTCACATGTCCCCTACACATTAAACTAAGTGTGTGAACAGAGCTTTTCTCGACCTGTGTGTGTGGACTTCACTGGCAGAGCATGTAACACTACAGTAAACACAGAGGCAGACAGGGAACAGATGGACACACTAATCGACCTGCTGAACCGGCTCAGACCAGCCCCTTTAAAGCAGGATAATGTCCCGGGGAAGACACGCGAAGAATCAAGCCGCTGCGTGAAAACTCGGGATTAGAGCGAGGTGCACTGGAGATAAAACTCATTACTTTTATTGATCAGGATGTAGCTTTTGTTCGAGCGTGGGACGGCCAGGATCCTAGAGCGGCACATTTACAAAAACACTGCTAGGCAACTCCAACACAGCACACTCATTAGTGGTGTTTACTGAGACAACATCACTATTACTACATACATGCTCGGGCTTAGTGTGTGTGTGTGTGTGTGTGTGTGTGTGTGTGTGTGTGTGTGTGTGTGTGTGTGTGTGTGTGTGTGTGTGTGTGTGTGTGTGTGTGTGTGTGTGTGTGTGTGTGTGTGTGTGTGTGTGTGTGTGTGTGTGAAACCCATAACTGATGGAAAGTTCACCCCAAATGTTTAAGTGTCCTTCCAAACCTGCATGATATACTTGCCTTGCCTTGGAAACTATAGGCTATCTAAAATAGTTGTAGTACTAATTTACTAAAACCAAAACAAAGAACAAAAAACATAAGCTAATAACATAAAAATGGCAAAAGCATCAATTAATAAAACTTAAATTAAAATTCTGTGATTTTTTTTTTTTTAAATGTAAAGGGTTTTTGCACATTTAATGAAAGTCAATGGGGTCTGACAGTTTTGAAGTACTCATTTACTAAAACTAAATTAAAGAACAAAAAACAAACTAATAAAAATGACAAAAGCACATCAATGACTAAAACGTAAATTCTGTGGAAAATATGAGAATTCAAAATTCTGTGGGGAAAAGAAAATATATATTGTTTCTGACATAGTTTTGGACCCCATTGACTTTCATTGTATAGAAATCTTTCAAAACATCTTCTTTTGTGTCCCACAGAAGAAAGCAAGTCATTGGTGTGTGTGTGTGTGTGTGTGTGTGTGTGTGTGTGTGTGTGTGTGTGTGTGTGTGTGTGTGTGTGTGTGTGTGTGTGTGTGTGTGTGTGTGTGTGTGTGTGTGTGTGTGTGTGTGTGTGTGTGTGTGTGACTCATTCTGCCCCGTCTGTGCTAGCGACACGAATGATGTGTGTCGTGTCGAGGAGCGCTCTATGATCACTTCTCCAAGCGATTAGTGAGTTACTCCGTTCCTCAGTCACCATTACAGGTGCTTTTCTGACTCTAAACTCTGCGTGTGATTGGCCACTCAGACGGTGTCCATGACGATGGCATTCCTGTCCCAGCGTCCTGCATAATTAAAGGAGCCAGTAATTAGCGGAATCAAGCACTGGGTCAGTTTACAACCATGAGAGGAGGGTGTTTGTACAGTCCAGAGAGGAACGACTCTACAAGTGCACACGACAGAACTGTGCTTTCTTCAGTGACTAAAGCTGTGAGGTCCACGACATCCAAACCCAGCCTTAATTACATCATTATAACGACACAAAGCACTCGTGACATCAAGGACTTGCAGAATCAATAACGACGAGTTGATTAATAATCATTTTAGTATTTAATTAATTAATAAAAATAACTAAAGCACATATTAAAATAAAAGCCAATTAATAAAATGGACAGTTTTTCACTCTCGTGGGAACAGAGCAGCCAGGACATTCTGTCAAATTTCTATTTCTATCGAAGCTTGAACCGCCACTGAATAAAAAAATTAAAAAGGCAAAAGGCAATTGCTTTTTATTTTAAAATTCTGACTTTTCCTGCAAAACTGACTTTTTTTTCTCAGGATTGCATGAAATAAACTGGAAGTTATAAGGTCAGAATTGTGAAATATACTCATAATTCCCTCGAAAAAAAATCACAATTGCGAGTTATAAAGTCAGAATTGTGATATAAAAACTTTTTGCCCACTCAGAATAGGACTATATAACTCACAATTGTATTTATTGTGGCTATATCACAATTTTTTTTTTATTATTATTATTAGGCTATTCAGTGGCGGAAACAAGCTTCCATAAAGGTCTCCTTTCATGTCCCACAGAAGAAACAAAGTCATCCTGGTTTGGAAAAACGTTAGGGTGAGTAAACGATTATTTTCGTTCAAACTTTAGGATAGAAACTAATTGAACAAACTCTACCGAGAGGGCAGGTGTGTTGAGTTTCTGTTGCTGTACTGTGGTTCACAGCGAGTTAAACTAGAGGACTATGGGCCATACTGACTATGAAGCCAAACTAGCCATCTTAGACTGAACTTAGCAGCTGCTCATGATGTCAATATCATCATAATATCTTAAAGCAGGGGAATACTAGTGTCTCTAAAAGACACACCGCAATGTCACTGCCTGACCTTGGGTGTTTTGATCCCAGAAAAGTCCCCCGGTGTTGGACAACAGGGTCCAGTTCAGGGCCCGAAGCTTTACAACTCAAGCGCACAGGTGTGCAACACAAGCAGAAGCAGAACCGCATCTCAGGACGGCGCGGCTACACAAACAACGGGCTTGTGTTTCAATGATCTCATATGGGGTCCAGTTCTTCGCAGATGGTGTGAGGAAACACCGCAGATGAGACTCAAAATACACATAGCCTAGGCTTCAAATATATCAGCAGAATAACTCCAAAGGAGACTTTCCCATCCGTGGAGATGCGTGGCTGCCATTCATCCATTTTAATCAGCTTATCAATAATATCTAGAGGACACTGGCGACGGGAGCTCTCATTCCTGAAGGAAATTAGCCGTTGGTGTGTGTGTGTGTGTGTGACAGAGAGAAGAAAATAAAACCATGAAACGGAAGCGGTACGTACCAGCGGTTCGGTGTCCACATCGTTTCTTGGCGCAGAAACCGAGAAACCCGATGCTGTGAATTAGCGAAGCTGTAGTCGCGGTTGTTTTTTTGTTTTGTTTTTTTATCCCAGTCGGTCAGCGGTCAGTCCCCGCAGATAATCACAGCAATATTGGAGGGTATTGTCAAGGTTAGGTGTATGAAAGTGAGGAAAAGTGCTGTGTGTGGCTGGATTTGAAGGCAGTTTAGACGGATGCTGCGGTAACGGGGACTGCAGGTCTGCGGTAAACCCCGGACCGGATCCGAGCCAGAGGCACTGGACGCCGGACACACGCAACACCAGGAGCCTGGATCACATGACGGATTCCGGCTGGAGTTTCTCGTGTGTTTTAAGAAGTATAATGTTATCTACGTTATCGGTACACTACACACACACACACATTGATAGAATAAAAAAATATACAAAATGCAGTGTGTGTGTGTGCATACGCATATTGTAAATATACTACAGGACAAAATGAAATAGGATAAAGGCAATGCTCAGACAATCACATGCAAACCTCATTGTCTCACACCCATTTATTTGCCATTTTAAATCGTTAAAAAAAAGGTTTTAGGGCTGCAAACCGAAGAGCTTATTAAATTAGCAAACATCCAATCATAAAAATAATAAAAAAATAAAAATAATGAAACCTCATGGATTTAAGAAATGAACAATACTTATTTGAACCCTGATGAATGATTGGAATATTAATTTACTGGATCGCAAGATGGATTCCGTCAGGAGTTTCTCTCAGAATGTAATGTAGAACGTTATTGGCACGCACACACACGCACACGCACACACACACACACACACACGCACGCACGCACGCGCACACACACACACACACACAAATGTCTGGTTTACTATCTTTGTGAGGACCCTCCATAGACGTAATGGTTTTTATACTGTACAAACTGTATATTTTATCCCCTTACACTAACCCTATCCTTAAACCTACCCATCACAGGAAACATTCTGCATGTTTACATTTTCACAAAAAAACATTCTGTATGATTTATAAGCGTGTTTACCCATGGGGACCTCAATTTAGGTCCCCACAGTGACACGAGTCCCCATGAGTCTGTGTGCATTCAGGTTTAAGTCCCCACCCATGTACACACACACACACACACACACACACATATATGTGTGCAAATCACACTACCAGTAAATATGGATTAAAACAAGGATTTAAGGAAGGAACTGGACAATACTAATTTGAACCCTGAGGAATGATTGCAATATTAGTTCATGCACTTGCAGTAGTACAGCATTTTTTAAAATGGTATGAAACCGGATGCAATATTATAAACAAGTGTTCATTCTGGTCACATGATCCCGCAGCTATTGTTTCAAATTCTGTGTTTGTATTTTTAGTCCACATTTGTGTAATAACATCATATTTGATTGGACTGGCAAAAATTAAGTCAAGTAATATACTCAATTGAACTACATTGTGCAACTGTAGCCAGCAAAGCACAAGCACTGCTGTTTAGGCTACTGTTCATTTTGAAAAAGTATTGGGTCATTGAGGTTCTTCAGTGAATGTAGATGATCTTTAACTCATTCAGTGAAAACATTCACAGTAATATGCCAATGTAATACACTATGAATAGCCAAAGTTGTTTCTGCACTGGGTGATGTGGATGCGGTTAATATCCTACATATTATGATCTAATCAAATTGTATTCAATTGTATAACTTAATATTATTATTAAATGGTCAATATTTTGTACAAAATAGCAATAGTTTATAAAACGGATAATTCCGGTCCTTGATTCTGATTGGTTGAGCCGCGTTCTAAGCCGTTGTAAATTACCCTACAAACGCCTCCACCTGCTGGACAGAGAAGAGAAACATCTGCAAACGTCTGGCGCTTTACTGAAGCCACTGAACGCCTCCACATGCTGGACAGAGAAGAGAAACATCTGCAAACGTCTGGCGCTTTACTGAAGCCACTGAACACCTCCACCTGCTGGACAGAGAAGAAACATCTGCAAACATCTGGTGCTTTACTGAAGCCACTGAACGCCTCCACCTGCTGGACAGAGAAGAGAAACATCTGCAAACATCTGGCGCTTTACTGAAGCCACTGAACACCTCCACCTGCTGGACAGAGAAGAGAAACATCTGCAAACATCTGGCGCTTTACTGAAGCCACTGAACATCTCCACCTGCTGGACAGAGAAGAGAAACATCTGCAAACATCTGGCGCTTTACTGAAGCCACTGAACGCCTCCACCTGCTGGACAGAGAAGAGAAACATCTGCAAACATCTGGCGCTTTACTGAAGCCACTGAACGCCTCCACCTGCTGGACAGAGAAGAGAAACATCTGCAAACATCTGGCGCTTTACTGAAGCCACTGAACACCTCCACCTGCTGGACAGAGAAGAGAAACATCTGCAAACATCTGGCGCTTTACTGAAGCCACTGAACGCCTCCACCTGCTGGACAGAGAAGAGAAACATCTGCAAACATCTGGCGCTTTACTGAAGCCACTGAACGCCTCCACCTGCTGGACAGAGAAGAGAAACATCTGCAAACATCTGGCGCTTTACTGAAGCCACTGAACGCCTCCACCTGCTGGACAGAGAAGAGAAACCTCTGCAAACATCTGGCGCTTTACTGAAGCCACTGAACACCTCCACCTGCTGGACAGAAGAGAAACATCTGCAAACATCTGGCGCTTTACTGAAGCCACTGAACATCTCCACCTGCTGGACAGAGAAGAGAAACATCTGCAAACATCTGGCGCTTTACTGAAGCCACTGAACATCTCCACCTGCTGGACAGAGAAGAGAAACCTCTGCAAACATCTGGCGCTTTACTGAAGCCACTGAACGCCTCCACCTGCTGGACAGAAGAGAAACATCTGCAAACATCTGGCGCTTTACTGAAGCCACTGAACGCCTCCACCTGCTGGACAGAGAAGAGAAACATCTGCAAACATCTGGCGCTTTACTGAAGCCACTGAACGCCTCCACCTGCTGGACAGAGAAGAGAAACATCTGCAAACATCTGGCGCTTTACTGAAGCCACTGAACGCCTCCACCTGCTGGACAGAGAAGAGAAACATCTGCAAACATCTGGCGCTTTACTGAAGCCACTGAACATCTCCACCTGCTGGACAGAGAAGAGAAACATCTGCAAACATCTGGCGCTTTACTGAAGCCACTGAACGCCTCCACCTGCTGGACAGAGAAGAGAAACATCTGCAAACATCTGGCGCTTTACTGAAGCCACTGAACGCCTCCACCTGCTGGACAGAGAAGAGAAACATCTGCAAACATCTGGCGCTTTACTGAAGCCACTGATCGCCTCCACCTGCTGGACAAAGAAGAGCAACATCTGCAAACATCTGGCGCTTTACTGAAGCCACTGAACGCCTCCACCTGCTGGACAGAAGAGAAACATCTGCAAACATCTGGCGCTTTACTGAAGCCACTGAACGCCTACACCTGCTGGACAGAGAAGAGAAACATCTGCAAACATCTGGCGCTTTACTGAAGCCACTGAACATCTCCACCTGCTGGACAGAGAAGAGAAACATCTGCAAACATCTGGCGCTTTACTGAAGCCACTGAACGCCTCCACCTGCTGGACAGAGAAGAGAAACATCTGCAAACATCTGGCGCTTTACTGAAGCCACTAAACACCTCCACCTGCTGGACAGAGAAGAGAAACCTCTGCAAACATCTGGCGCTTTACTGAAGCCACTGAACGCCTCCACCTGCTGGACAGAGAAGAGAAACATCTGCAAACATCTGGCGCTTTACTGAAGCCACTGAACACCTCCACCTGCTGGACAGAGAAGAGCAACATCTGCAAACATCTGGCGCTTTACTGAAGCCACTGAACGCCTCCACCTGCTGGACAGAGAAGAGAAACCTCTGCAAACATCTGGCGCTTTCCTGAAGCCACTGAACACCTCCACCTGCTGGACAGAGAAGAGAAACATCTGCAAACATCTGGCGCTTTACTGAAGCCACTGAACGCCCCCACCTGCTGGACAGAGAAGAGAAACATCTGCAAACATCTGGCGCTTAAATGAAGCCACTGAACGCCTCCACCTGCTGAACAGAGAAGAGCAACATCTGCAAACATCTGGCGCTTTACTGAAGCCACTGAACGCCTCCACCTGCTGGACAGAGAAGAGAAACCTCTGCAAACATCTGGCGCTTTCCTGAAGCCACTGAACACCTCCACCTGCTGGACAGAGAAGAGAAACATCTGCAAACATCTGGCGCTTTACTGAAGCCACTGAACGCCCCCACCTGCTGGACAGAGAAGAGAAACATCTGCAAACATCTGGCGCTTTACTGAAGCCACTGAACGCCCCCACCTGCTGGACAGAGAAGAGAAACATCTGCAAACATCTGGCGCTTAAATGAAGCCACTGAACGCCTCCACCTGCTGAACAGAGAAGAGAAACATCTGCAAACATCTGGCGCTTTACTGAAGCCACTGAACGCCCCCACCTGCTGGACAGAGAAGAGAAACATCTGCAAACATCTGGCGCTTTACTGAAGCCACTGAACGCCTCCACCTGCTGGACAGAGAAGAGAAACATCTGGCGCTTTACTGAAGCCACTCAACACCCCCACCTGCTGGACAGAGAAGAGAAACATCTGCAAACATCTGGCGCTTTACTGAAGCCACTGAACACCTCCACCTGCTGGACAGAGAAGAGAAAGATCTGCAAACATCTGGCGCTTTACTGAAGCCACTGAACACCTCCACCTGCTGGACAGAGAAGAGAAACATCTGGCGCTTTACTGAAGCCACTGAACACCCCCACCTGCTGGACAGAGAAGAGAAACATCTGCAAACATCTGGCGCTTTACTGAAGCCACTGAACGCCCCCACCTGCTGGACAGAGAAGAGAAACATCTGCAAACATCTGGCGCTTAAATGAAGCCACTGAACGCCTCCACCTGCTGGACAGAGAAGAGAAACATCTGCAAACATCTGGCGCTTTACTGAAGCCACTGAACGCCCCCACCTGCTGGACAGAGAAGAGAAACATCTGCAAACATCTGGCGCTTTACTGAAGCCACTGAACACCTCCACCTGCTGGACAGAGAAGAAACATCTGCAAACATCTGGCGCTTTACTGAAGCCACTGAACGCCTCCACCTGCTGGACAGAGAAGAGAAACATCTGCAAACATCTGACGCTTTACTGAAGCCACTGAACGCCTCCACCTGCTGGACAGAGAAGAGAAACATCTGCAAACATCTGGCGCTTTACTGAAGCCACTGAACATCTCCACCTGCTGGACAGAGAAGAGAAACATCTGCAAACATCTGGCGCTTTACTGAAGCCACTGAACGCCTCCACCTGCTGGACAGAGAAGAGAAACCTCTGCAAACATCTGGCGCTTTACTGAAGCCACTGAACGCCTCCACCTGCTGGACAGAGAAGAGAAACATCTGCAAACATCTGGCGCTTTACTGAAGCCACTGAACGCCTCCACCTGCTGGACAGAGAAAAGAAACCTCTGCAAACATCTGGCGCTTTACTGAAGCCACTGAACGCCTCCACCTGCTGGACAGAGAAGAGAAACATCTGCAAACATCTGGCGCTTTACTGAAGCCACTGAACGCCTCCACCTGCTGGACAGAAGAGAAACATCTGCAAACATCTGGCGCTTTACTGAAGCCACTGAACGCCTCCACCTGCTGGACAGAAAAGAAACATCTGCAAACATCTGGCGCTTTACTGAAGCCACTGAACGCCTCCACCTGCTGGACAGAAGAGAAACATCTGCAAACATCTGGCGCTTTACTGAAGCCACTGAACACCTCCACCTGCTGGACAGAGAAGAGAAACATCTGCAAACATCTGGCGCTTTACTGAAGCCACTGAACACCTCCACCAGCTGGACAGAGAAGAGAAACATCTGCAAACATCTGGTGCTTTACTGAAGCCACTGAACGCCTCCACCTGCTGGACAGAGAAGAGAAACATCTGCAAACATCTGGCGCTTTACTGAAGCCACTGAACGCCTCCACCTGCTGGACAGAGAAGAGAAACATCTGCAAACATCTGGCGCTTTACTTAAGCCACTGAACACCTCCACCAGCTGGACAGAGAAGAGAAACATCTGCAAACATCTGGCACTTTACTGAAGCCACTGAACACCTCCATCTGCTGGACAGAGAAGAGAAACATCTGCAAACATCTGGCGCTTTACTGAAGCCACTGAACGCCTCCACCTGCTGGACAGAGAAGAGAAACCTCTGCAAACATCTGGCGCTTTACTGAAGCCACTGAACGCCTCCACCTGCTGATAAGAGAAGAGAAACATCTGCAAACATCTGGCGCTTTACTGAAGCCACTGAACGCCTCCACCTGCTGGACAGAGAAGAGAAACCTCTGCAAACATCTGGCGCTTTACTGAAGCCACTGAACGCCTCCACCTGCTGGACAGAGAAGAGCAACATCTGCAAACATCTGGCGCTTTACTGAAGCCACTGAACGCCTCCACCTGCTGGACAGAGAAGAGAAACATCTGCAAACATCTGCCCCTTTACTGAAGCCACTGAACGCCTCCACCTGCTGGACAGAGAAGAGAAACATCTGCAAACATCTGGCGCTTTACTGAAGCCACTGAACACCTCCACCTGCTGGACAGAGAAGAGCAACATCTGCAAACATCTGGCGCTTTACTGAAGCCACTGAACGCCTCCAGCTGCTGGACAGAGAAGAGAAACATCTGCAAACATCTGGCGCTTTACTGAAGCCACTGAACGCCTCCACCTGCTGGACAGAGAAGAGAAACATCTGCAAACATCTGGCGCTTTACTGAAGCCACTGAACGCCTCCACCTGCTGGACAGAGAAGAGCAACATCTGCAAACATCTGGCGCTTTACTGAAGCCACTGAACGCCTCCACCTGCTGGACAGAGAAGAGAAACATCTGCAAACATCTGGCACTTTACTGAAGCCACTGAACGCCTCCACCTGCTGGACAGAGAAGAGAAACATCTCCAAACATCTGGCGCTTTACTGAAGCCACTGAACGCCTCCACCTGCTGGACAGAGAAGAGAAACATCTGCAAACATCTGGCGCTTTACTGAAGCCACTGAACGCCTCCACCTGCTGGACAGAGAAGAGAAACATCTGCAAACATCTGGCGCTTTACTGAAGCCACTGAACACCTCCACCTGCTGGACAGAGAAGAGAAACCTCTGCAAACATCTGGCGCTTTACTGAAGCCACTGAACACCTCCACCTGCTGGACAGAGAAGAGAAACATCTGCAAACATCTGGCGCTTTACTGAAGCCACTGAACGCCTCCACCTGCTGGACAGAGAAGAGCAACATCTGCAAACATCTGGCGCTTTACTGAAGCCACTGAACACCTCCACCTGCTGGACAGAGAAGAGAAACCTCTGCAAACATCTGGCGCTTTACTGAAGCCACTGAACACCTCCACCTGCTGGACAGAGAAGAGCAACATCTGCAAACATCTGGCGCTTTACTGAAGCCACTGAACGCCTCCACCTGCTGGACAGAGAAGAGAAACATCTGCAAACATCTGGCGCTTTACTGAAGCCACTGAACGCCCCCACCTGCTGGACAGAGAAGAGAAACATCTGCAAACATCTGGCGCTTTACTGAAGCCACTGAACGCCTCCACCTGCTGGACAGAAGAAACATCTGCAAACATCTGGCGCTTTACTGAAGCCACTGAACGCCTCCACCTGCTGGACAGAGAAGAGAAACCTCTGCAAACATCTGGCGCTTTACTGAAGCCACTGAACGCCTCCACCTGCTGGACAGAAGAAACATCTGCAAACATCTGGCGCTTTACTGAAGCCACTGAACGCCTCCACCTGCTGGACAGAGAAGAGAAACATCTGCAAACATCTGGTGCTTTACTGAAGCCACTGAACGCCTCCACCTGCTGGACAGAGAAGAAACATCTGCAAACATCTGGCGCTTTACTGAAGCCACTGAACGCCTCCACCTGCTGGACAGAGAAGAGAAACATCTGCAAACATCTGGCGCTTTACTGAAGCCACTGAACGCCTCCACCTGCTGGACAGAGAAGAGAAACCTCTGCAAACATCTGGCGCTTCTGCGATGACTTTACGTACCAGATAGCACACGTACATCTGCAAGATGTCTGTTAAAGATCACTTCATCTGGAAAGCATCTGCTGTTTACTAACATCTGATAGACATCTTTAAGATGTCAGTTTAACATACATTCTAAATCATTACATCTTAAAGACATCTTCTAAACGTCTATTTGACATCTGACAGGAAACGCCCTATAGACGTATTACAGATGGGCAAACACTCTAAAAAATACGTCTTCCAGATGTAAACACGCACATCAAATAGACGTCTCCGTGATGTACGTGTGCTATCTGCTTTGGCTGATGTCATCAAGCTCTTTAATTTTCACCCACTATTACATTTGTTCCCTTGCTGCATAAATATCCTATTTCCCTCAGACATGAAGTAAATCAGATTGAGAATATAATTTCAAGTTAACTTCCAGTTCTCTTAAAGGGACAGATTACCCAAAAAAAGAAAATTCTGTCATAATTTACTCACCCTCATGTTGTTGATCCCTTTATGAACTTGTTTTAAGCGTTAAAGTGGTAGTTGCGTATCTATCATGGAGGGACAAAAAGCTCTCAGATTTCATCAAAAAGATCTTCATTTGTATTTCGAAGATGAATGAAACTCTTATGGGTTTGGAACAACAGTTGGTGAGTAATTGAAATAATTTAGATTTTTAAGTGAACTATCCCATTAAATACATTACATACCCTGCGTACAGACTGTCATTTTACATGTACAGATGTTACGTTATGGTTCTGTATAAGAGCCTGTATACAGTTTAAACTATTCTCAGTTAAAATGCCAACATTTAAAAGTCCCCCTGCAGTAAATTTTATCCCAAACTAAAAAAAAGCACCATAAAAATGGTCCATAAAACTTGTGTGCAAGTCATACAATAGCTTTGTGTGAGGATCTGACAGAAATTGTATTCTGTTCCTCACAAATAGCTGTTATACGTCCCCCGTAGTCAATCATTTTATCCTATAAAACTCCTCTTTGATCACCAAAATGACATTTAAATGTTCCTGCCTTAAAATAGCTTGAATGCAACTCGACACCCTTGTCTCATTTAGTATACGTGGTTCTATGAATATGCAAATGAGCCCCGCCTCCACTCACTCACTCAGCTCAGAGATCCACTGGTTGACGATCACACGTTGATCTGATTGGTAACAAGGTCGTTTGTGACGTCAGAAACACCAGCGATTTCAAACCGTGTTTTTGAGACTGTCTTTGGTTCACTGCAGTTAAGGAGAAAATACTCAGCAATGCTGTCGACTTATGAATTTACACATGGTTTGTATTTAAAACATTAAGAACACCACATAAACAACATTAAAAGCTTAATTTTCAACACGGGGGACTTTAATTAACAGGAACGAAGAAACAAACACACCATTTAAGACAGCTTAATTTGTCAAACTCTTTATTTGTAATTCCATACAGATCAAACACATACAGAGTCCATGCATTAGCTCAAACTCATCTGACATTTGTCTGTCACCTTCCTTAACTGGGATAGTTCACTCAAAAATAGACTAAAAATATAATAAAAGACATCATTTACTCATCATCATGTCATTCCAAACCTGCATGACTGTATAAAGCCCCAACAAAGAAAGTCAATGGGGTCCAATGTTGTTTCATTATATGTTCTTTAAGAAAACATTCTTTAAAATATATAATATAGTCGGTCAGACGTTTAGAATGACATGGATGAGTAAATTATGACAATTTAATTTTTTGGGTGAACCATCCCTTCAAGTGTCTGAATTACTGGCAGTTTGCTGAAAGTAAACAAAACAAACAAAAAAAGAGAGAGAGAAATCAAAAACACTTTGATTGTTATAAAAGAACTGAAATGGCAGTACGGCAGTCAGTGTCCGTCGTTATGAGGTCGTGTCATCGTTAATACTCGTCCTGTCATGTCGGGGTCATGCGTCATGTCACTTAAAACTCTGTAAGAACAAACACATCATAGTCACAGTTACACAAGTCCACAATCTCTGAAACACATATCAAATAATGGCTCTATTTAGGTCTGAACCTCGAAACTTAAAGGTGCGATCAACTTTAATACTGTATTGTGTCATATTTCAGAGTCTATTATATTTAATATTTTATGGCCGCAGTCACATTAGTGAAATTGGAAACACTTTACAATAAGGTTCATTAGTTAACATTCATGTATTAACTAACATTGAGCAATACATTTGTTACAGTATTTATTAATCTTTGTTAATGTCAGTTAATACAAATAAAGATGTTCATTGATCATGTTAGTTCACAGTACATTAACTAATGTTAACAAATACAAACTTTGATTTTAATAACGTATTAGTAAATGTTGAAATTAATATGAACTAATATTAATAAATGCTGTGGAAGTATTGTTCATTCTTAGTTCATGTTAACTAATTAACCTTATTGTAAAGTGAAATTTTGCCTAAATTTAGCATCTTGATATCAGTAATTGTGGCGAATTCAGGTTCAAAGTTCAACTAACTTGAACCCAATGCTGCCTTGCATTCATCACAGAGCATGTCACAGGAAGAGCCAGTCATGACGGCTTGATTCAGACTGAATGATTCACAATAAGACTAGAAACATGCATTATGGAAATTAATAAGGTCCATTTTGATTTCATTCCGACTTTTAAGATGAAGCTTGTAATCTCTGCAACACTAGTGGCACCAAACAGAATTACAAAAACATGTCAGATAAGATTCCCAGAACTCTTCGATCTGCTCCTTTCAAGCCATGTCTGAATTACTGAATCCATGCCCTCACCCTCCTAGTTGCAGTTAAAGAATCGTGGCAGAAGCACATTGATATTGATCATAATTATGCTTCAATTGTGAATGTTGATTATACAATTTGTCTGTACGCATTTGTTGTGGTTTTGATGATGACGAACTAGGGGTTTAAACATTACTCATTTAGCCAGTTTGTTGAATGTCGGATGCAACTAAACATCCCATAATTCTCTGTGGCAGCATAAGAATTATACAACGCAGAAATAAAGCATCAATTACACACTTAAAGGAGTAATGCACTTTTATGATGGATAGATGCACTTTTATGATGGATAGATGCACTTTTATCGTGGATAGATGCACTTTTATCGTGGATAGAAGCACTTTTATCGTGGAGAGATGCACTTATATCGTGGATAGATGCACTTTTATCATGGATAGATGCACTTTTATCATGGATAGATGCACTTTTATCGTGGAGAGATGCACTTTTATCGTGGATAGATGCACTTTTATCGTGGAGAGATGCACTTATATCGTGGATAGATGCACTTTTATCATGGATAGATGCACTTTTATCATGGATAGATGCACTTTTATGATGGATAGATGCACTTTTATCATGGATAGATGCACTTTTATCGTGGATAGATGCACTTATATCGTGGATAGATGCACTTTTATCATGGATAGATGCACTTTTATCATGGATAGATCCACTTTTATGATGGATAGATGCACTTTTATGATGGATAGATGCACTTTTATCATGGGTAGATGCACTTCCACTTTTATCATGGATAGACGCACTTTTATCATGGACAGATGCACTTTTATCATGGACAGACGCACTTTTATCATGGACAGATGCACTTTTATCATGGATAGATGCACTTTTATCATGGATAGATGCACTTTTATGGTGGATAGATGCACTTTTATGGTGGATAGATGCACTTTTATGGTGGATAGATGCACTTATCATGGATAGATGCACTTATCATGGATAGATGCACTTTTATCATGGATAGATGCACTTTTATCGTGGATAGATGCACTTTTATCATGGATAGATGCACTTTTATCATGGATAGATGCACTTTTATCGTGGATAGATGCACTTTTATCATGGATAGATGCACTTTTATCATGGATAGATGCACTTTTATCATGGACAGATGCACTTTTATCATGGATAGACGCACTTTTATCATGGACAGATGCACTTTTATCATGGATAGATGCACTTTTATCATGGATAGATGCACTTTTATGGTGGATAGATGCACTTTTATGGTGGATAGATGCACTTTTATGGTGGATAGATGCACTTATCATGGATAGATGCACTTATCATGGATAGATGCACTTATCATGGATAGATGCACTTATCATGGATAGATGCACTTTTATCATGGATAGATGCACTTTTATCATGGATAGATGCACTTTTATGGTGGACAGATGCACTTTTATCAGTTTCAAAATGGTTGGTTGCAATAGACTGCCATTATAAAGCTTGGAAAATTTAATATAACTGATTGTATTCGTCTGAAAGAAGAAAGTCATATACACCTGGGATGGCTTGAGGGCGAGTAAATCATGGGGTTATTTTCATTTTTAAAGTGAACTACTCCTTTAATGAGCATCCTTTACTCTTCATTTTGTTGTATTAAAGCAGGGGTGCCACACTCAGATCCTGCAGTTATATCGCGGTCGAGTCGAGGTCGGAAGTGGGAATATCTGAGTTGAAGTGTCCCAAATATAATGTTAACGTTTGTTTTTGTGTTCGACAAATGTATCCACACAATGGCTGTTGGAAACACGACTTGCCACCATCTTGGAAATGACGTCAAATAACGCGTTTCGCTGAGGTCGGGGTTGATCGATCTGCCACGAGTTCACAGGTCGGATGTCCGACTTCGAGAGGCATTCCAGACGTTATTTTCAAGTAGGAGGAAAAATCTGATTTCTGAGTTGTCAGGAACGCAGAATTAGCTTCAACCCTAATTAAACATTAATCAAGGTCTTCAGGATTACTTGAAAACTCAAGTTGATAACTCAGTTCCCTACAGGAGCAGTTTGGCACCCCTGCATTATAGACAATCAGGACAACTGGCTCAATAATTACACTGCCACAGGGATTATGTGATAAAAAAATAATTATATGCAAAATACCCGTTCATGGATTGATAGAAATATCTATAGCAAATGTTCTTAGCTCAACCACCATTGGCAGGAGTGGCAGTTTTAGACTCACTTTAGTAACACAACCGTTCATAAGCTTGGGGTCAGCAAGATTTTTTTTTCCTGAAAGAAATGAATACTTTCATTCAGTAAGGATGAATTAAATTGATCAAAAGTGACAGTAAAGACATTAATAAGGTTTTTCATTTATTTTATATCAAGTAAATGCAGTTATTATATCAATAAACTGCAGTTACTGGAGTAATGATGCTGAAAATGATATTTCACAATATTACTGTTTTTACTGTATTTTTTTGATCAAATAAATGCAGAGTTGGTGAACAAATACATTAAAAAAATTCTTAACAACAAACTTCTGAAGAGTCTTGTTTTCTGTCTGGCTCCTGAAATAAGTGCAATTCACATTTCTGCCACTAGTGCCAGCGAAATCACAAACTGCACCTCTACACAAAGCTAGAAAAATATTACAAGGGCCATACAATAATTTTATGATCGCAAATCAAATGTAGAGGACAGATATGACCTGCATGCTTCGTTTGACCGACCGTTTCTGTTCGACTGACGAGACATTGTTATCTGACTGACAGAGAAATAAACGAATCCCCCAAAAGAGATGCAGATGTTAAAGGATTGTCTCCAGGTAGCACATGCGAGCGGTCAGTTCAGTTTTTCGAATCATGTCTCAAGTCGTCAACTTATTCATGAACAAGTTCACTCTCAAAATCAAATTATAAAGAATATAACAGATTGTATCAATTTTCATCTTGTTTTTCTGGATTGTCTTTATTTGTACTCACAACAGAAATAACAATATTGTGGTGAATTCATAAGCATTTGAAATATTTCACAGTGTCTTACCTACTGAGCTGACTTACCCGTGTCTGTCATAAGGTCAAAGGTCAGTATGTTCTCTGGCGCTTGTGTGACTCCTCTTTGGGCGGGTCGGCCAGCATGACCTTCATCTTGACCCCGTTCACCACTCTCCCGTGCAGGAGCGCTATGGCGTCGTGAGCCGACTTACGGTCCGAGTACTTGATATATCCCACATTACGGCCGGGAACCAGATAAACCTCCATCAGGGAGCCAAACCGGCTGTGTGGAGAAAACACCGTTAATTATCACAGGAAAAAGAGTCGAGACTGTCCGGCAACATTTCTGGATTGTTTTCAATAGGTTCAAGGAAATTAATCACACTAACCAATCATAACAACGTTTAAAAAAAAAAGAAAAGAATAATAATAATTATGACACATCTACAATATCAATCTACACTCACACACACACATACATAATTATCATTTTCTTTTAATGTTTATGTAAGTCTCTTCTGCTCACCAAGGCTGCTTTATTTGATAAAAACACAGCAAAGATGGTAATACTGTGGAATATTATTACAATGTAAAATAACTGTTTTTTATGTGAATATATAATAAAGTGTAATTTATTCCTGTGATCAAAGCTGAATTTTCAGCATCATTACTCCAGTCTTCAGAGTCACATGATCATTCAGAAATCACTCTAATATGATGATCTGATGCTCACATTTATGATTATTATCAATGTTGAAAACAGTTCTTAATATGAATATATAAAGTTGCAAAAGATTTCTATTTAAAAAAAAAATTGCAGCATGACTGTTTTCAACATCGATAATAATAATAACAACTGCTTATCGAGCAGCAAATATTACCGCTTTACTGTGTTTTTGATTGAATAAATGCAGCCTTGATGAGCATTAGTTCATCTTTCAAAAACATTGAAAAAAATCTTAATTATTTCAAACATTTGACCGGTAGTGTATATAATATCACCCAGTCTATAAGCATGTGTCCATGTCAGTAGTGGAACAACATTCACAGGAAATATTTACATAAATTCAGACACAATACACCACAACGCTCCAACACTATCAGAGCTGGTGTGTAAATCACACACACACAGACACACACCAGAACAGGTCCTCCAGAACGTCCACAGGCAGAGGTGAGGGGTTGAAGATGACGAAGAGTCTCTCCTTCACCGCGCCGTCAGACGACACCAGCTTCTTCAGAGGAGGAAGAGCCACATCAGTCTGAACACGCGCTTTCTGGGCCACAGGAGGCGCTGTATAGCCCTACAGGAACACCACACACACACACACCACTGGTCAATCATCAGTCTCTGAACACGCGCTTTCTGGGCCACAGGAGGCGCTGTATAGCCCTACAGGAACACACCACACACACACACACACGGTCAATCATCAGTCTCTGAACACAAGCTTTCTGGGCCACAGGAGGCGCTGTATAGCCCTACAGGAACACCACACACACGGTCAATCATCAGTCTCTGAACACATGCTTTCTGGGCCACAGGAGGCGCTGTATAGCCCTACAGGAACACACCACACACACACACACACGGTCAATCATCAGTCTCTGAACACATGCTTTCTGGGCCACAGGAGGCGCTGTATAGCCCTACAGGAACACCCCACACACACACACACACACACACACACACACACACACACACACACACACACACACACACACACACACACACACACACACACACACACACACACACACACACACACACACACACACACACACACACACACACACACACACACACACACACACACACACACACACACACGGTCAATCATCAGTCTCTGAACACGCGCTTTCTGGGCCACAGGAGGCGCTGTATAGCCCTACAGGAACACCACACACACACACACACACACACACACAGTCTTCCTCTGTGTGGAAATCCTTAGACATGTTTGTGAAGATTGTTTTGTTTCCAGCGTGCGTCTCCCTCAGACTGTAAACGAAGCTCGGGCGCACCAGACACACACACACACACACACACACACACATCAGACACACGTCAGCAGCGTCTTACGTCAGCGGCGGCACTGAACGCGGATCCACAACAGAACCGGAATACACACACACACACACACACACACACACACACACACACACACACACCAGACACACGTCAGCACGGCACTGAACGCGGATCCACAACAGAACCGGAATACACACACACACACACACACACACCAGACACACGTCAGCAGTGTCTTACGTCAGCGGCGTCACTGAACGCGGATCCACAACAGAATCGGAATACACACACACACACACACACACACACACACACACCAGACACACGTCAGCACGGCACTGAACGCGGATCCACAACAGAACCGGAATACACACACACACACACACACACACCAGACACACGTCAGCAGCGTCTTACGTCAGCGGCGGCACTGAACGCGGATCCACAACAGAACCAGAATACACACACACACACACACCAGTAGGGCTGTCAACTTTAGTCGTTTAGTCGACTAATCGGTCGATGCCGTCTTGGTCGACTGACATTCTTATTGGTCGACCAGTTGCATTTTTTTTTTTTTTTTTACCAATAGAAAGAAATTTTCCATGATTTACTCCTTGATAATTATTCCTTTATAAGCAGTTAAATATTACTGTATTCTAAATATAATTAGCCTATGGTTTATCCCCAACTTTAAATGCTTTAATTTAGGCTATTTTGTAACAGCGCCAGAGTTTAGCGCACACACATAGAACACTCGGTTCACACGGCTGGCTGCGCTGCTGCTTCGTGCTCAGTAAGGGATATACGTAGTTCAGCTTTCATTCAGTTAGAACGCTACTTGTTTCGGTTTTTATGTTTTTATACACTATATGTTTTTATCTCGATGCGGCGTGGACGCACTTGGAAAAAAAGAGCGCATCGCACCCATAGACTGTATAAAGGTCTCACCGCGACCGCGTTGCTTCCATCATTAGCGCACACCGCGCGCCTACATTTGAAATCGAACTTGAGCGCGCAAAAGACGTGAGCAGTCCCTTTAACGGCTTTATCATGCTGACTCAATAGATTGTGTTTTCTTGATATGTTTTTGTTTTTATTTGTACACTTGACGCATTTGAAAATAGCCTAAATAATGTAACAAAACGAAAATAAACCTATATGCGGTCCTACAATACAACCTATTATTATTAGGATTGTTTTTTAGGCTCTTTGGGTTTTTGTGTGTGTTTGTTTTAAAACGCCTAGATAGGCTGGACAAAAGTTAACCCATAGCTTTGAAAGTAAAGAAGAATATACAGCCTGTATAAACGAGAGCTTTTGTTAGGATTTTTCATTGTGGCAGATAGCAGTTATATTTTTTGTAGTGTGTGGTGTGGTCAGTTGCGCGATTGTGACTGTTACTATAGACCTAGGACAGTGCTCCTCACTTTTTGCAGTTAAAAGCAGTTAATTTTCAAAGAATTGTATTATTATTATAGTTTTATGTATTTTTGATGTTTTTTCGTTGTTGTTTTATAAATGCTCTATGACAATTGTTAAAAAATGTTCAATCAAAACATCGCATCTTTTTTTATTTTTTTATTTTTTTAGTCGACTAATCGTTGTGCAGGACAAGACTTTGGTCGACTAAGGATTTCTTTGGTTGACTACAGCCCTACACACCAGACACACGTCAGCACGGCACTGAACGCGGATCCACAACAGAACCGGAATACACACACACACACACACACCTGACACACGTCAGCAGCGTCTTACGTCAGCGGCGGCACTGAACGCAGATCCACAACAGAACCAGAATACACACACACACACACACCAGACACACGTCAGCAGCGTCTTACGTCAGCGGCGGCACTGAACGCGGATCCACAACAGAACCAGAATACACACACACACACACACACACACGCACACACACACACACCAGACACACGTCAGCAGCGTCTTACGTCAGCGGCGGCACTGAACGCAGATCCACAACAGAACCAGAATACACACACACACACACACACCAGACACACGTCAGCAGCGTCTTACGTCAGCAGCGGCACTGAACGCGGATCCACAACAGAACCAGAATACACACACACACACACACACACACACCAGACACACGTCAGCAGCGTCTTACGTCAGCGGCGGCACTGAACGCGGATCCACAACAGAACCAGAATACACACACACACACACACACACACACACACACACACACCAGACACACACACCAGACACACGTCTGCAGCGTCTTACGTCAGCGGCGGCACTGAACGCGGATCCACAACAGAACCCGAATACACACACACACACACACACACACACACACACACACACACACCAGACACACACACCAGACACACACACCAGACACACGTCAGCAGCGTCTTACGTCAGCGGCGGCACTGAACGCGGATCCACAACAGAACCCGAATACACACACACACACACACACACACACACCAGACACACGTCAGCAGCGTCTTACGTCAGCGGCGGCACTGAACGCAGATCCACAACAGAACCAGAATACACACACACACACACACACACACCAGACACACGTCAGCGGCGTCACTGAACGCGGATCCACAACAGAACCGGAACACACACACGCACACACACACCAGACACACGTCAGCAGCGTCACTGAACGCGGATCCACAACAGAACCCGAATACACACACACACACACACACACACCAGACACACGTCAGCGGCGGCACTGAACGCGGATCCACAACAGAACCGGAACACAATACAATGCTGAATAAAGTCCTAGTTTTTGTTATTTTTGGACCAAAATGTATTTTCGATGCTTCAACACACTCTAACTAACCCACTGATGTCACATGGACTACTTTGATGATGTCTTTATTTCCTTTCTGGACAAGGACAGTAAACCGGACATACATTTCCAAAGGAGGGACAGAAAGCTCTCGGACTAAATCTAAAATATCTTAAACTGTGTTCCGAAGATGAACAGAGGTCTTACGGGCTTGGTGTAGCGGCAGCCAGTAACCGCTAAGAGGCTGAGTAGAGGGAATAAAGTTGACGCGTTTCCACTGCGAGTCCAGGTGGTTTATTGCAACATTGAAATTGACAGAAACATGATGAATGATGACGGTAAAGTAAGCATAAAACAATTAAATGTAAATAAAATAAATGAAAGGAAAACGGTCAACAGAAAGTGAGCGTCCCAGCTACTCACCCCCTTCCTACATGCTAACCACACGCAAACTAACCAGGTAATATACACCTAAACCAAGTGACGTAACAAACTGAAAGTAAAAATTTCAAAATAAAAGACATCACCCAAACCTGGCACCTACACTCCAGCCCCTGATTATTACACCCCAACACTGTAATAATCATAACAATCCAACACAAACTTGCAAATTCTACATTGAATATTTACTTGCATACATAGAAATCGCTAAATCGTATCTCAAATAAACAATACACAAATGTATGTGTCTGTGGGTGTGTGTGTGAATGTCCAATTCTTCAATGTGCGAACAGTGTCCGTAATCAATCGAAGTAAACATGTCAATCAAACAGTCTTTAGTCAAAGTCTTCAGTATGTCATTTGAGAGCTCTCATAAGTCAGTCAGTCAATTAGTCAGTCGATCATAGAATAGTTAGAAGTCCTCCGTCTCCAGAAGAAGGCAGACTTTAGTAATGGGTCTGGTCAAGCAGGAACTCTTGGTCTTGATTCTTACTTGACGTGTCAATCCCCTTTTATCCTGTGTGATATGAATAATCTTGCCCATTATCCATGAGCTCCTTGGAGCAGTATCATCCACTACAAGCACAATATCTCCCACTTGAAAATTGCGTTTCTTCACCAGCCACTTCTGGCGCTCTTGTAGTTGAAGTAGGTACTCCCCGATCCATCTCTTCCAAAATAGATCCGCCATGTATTGGACCCGTCGCCAACGTCGTCGTGAATACAGATCGTCCCTTTTAAACAGTCCAGGTGATAAAGACGGCTGTGTTTTCAAGAGGAGAAGATGGTTTGGAGTAAGGGCTTCCAAATCATTAACATCCAAAGATGCTCTGGATATTGGACGATTATTAAGGATTGATTCAACTTCACAAAGGAGTGTGTAAAGACCTTCCTCGTCTAAACTTTGTCCTCTAAGGATAGAATTTAAAATCTTCCTTATTGATCTTATAAGCCGTTCCCAAATTCCTCCAAAATGCGAACCAGCCGGGGGATTAAAGTTCCACTTAATTCCCTTTTGAAGCAGAAATGAATTGATTTGATTA